GGAGGAGGAGGAGGAGGAGGAGGAGGAGGAGGAGGAGGAGGAGGAGGAGGAGGAGGAGGAGGAGGAGGAGGAGGAGGAGGGGGGGGAGTGGGAGGAGGGGGAGGAGAAGAAGGACCGCAGGAGCAGGAGGAGGAGGAGGAGGAGGAGGAGGAGGAGGAGGAGGAGGAGGGGGAAGGGGAGGAGGCGGAGGACCTCCCCCTCCTCCCCTGGCTCGCCGCCGACCCTCTCACCGTCCCCCCCCCCCGCCAGGCTCGCCGCCGACCCGGGGCGCCACGGCCTCGAGGTGTTGCCCCCCCCCTGGGGCGGCGGGGCCGGGCGACGGGCCCGGGACACCCCAGCGGCGGGGCGCCTTTTTTCCGTGCGCGGCCGCCGAGGTCTCGGCCCCCAGAGCCCAAGCGCAGCTCGTCGTGAGGCGCACGGGGACGGGCTAAACCTCGGGTCGGGCGTGTCCCCCTATAGAGGCGGATGCTGGACGAAAAACAAAAATATCCCGGTGGGGCCCTACCTAGGAGTTGGGGCATTTAGGAGAGCAACGTCTACATCTACACCGACAGCTACATGTACATCTGCACCTGCATCTACATCTTCATCAACATCACTTACATCGATTATATACTGTGCTATGCTATGCTATGCTATGCTATGCTATGCTCTGCTATGCTGCGCTATGCTGCGCTATGCTGCGCTATGCTGTGCTATGCTACGTTATGCTAGGGGACGTTCGGTTGCGCTGTGTTATGCTAGGCTATGCTATGCTATGCTGAACCATGATATTATATGATATGATATGATATGCTGCGCTATGCTATGCTATGATATGATATGACATGCTGCGCTATGCTATGATGTGCTAGGCTATGCTATGACATGATATGATGCGCTATGCTGCGCTATGCTATGATATGATATGAGATGTTATGATATGATATGATATGATATGGTATGATATGCTCTATGTTATCATATGATATGATGCGCCGTGCTATGGTATGATGTGTTATGATATGGTATGATATGTTGTGCTATGATATGCTGCGCTGTGCTATGCAAAGCAATGGTATGCTATGCTATGCTATACTGCGCTATGATATGATATTATATGATATGATATTATATGGCATGCTGTGCTATGCTATGCTATGCTATTATTGGCTATGCTATGCTATGCTATGCTGTGCTAATGCTGCGCTGCGTTATGCTGCGCTATGCTGCGCTAAGCCAAGCTAAGGTAAGCTAAGCTATGCTAAGCTAAGTTAAGCTAAGCTAGGCTAGGCTAAGCTAAGCTAAGCTAAGCTAAGCCAATCCAAGCCAATCCAAGCTAAGCTAAGCTAAGCTAAGATGAGATAAGCTAAGCTAAGCTAAGCTTAGCTAAGCTAAGCTGGGTGAACCCAGGGGGCGCAACTGGGGGAACCGCGGGGCGGATCCTGGGGGAACCGCCCGGGGCGCTTTACACTACCCGGCCCCTTTAAACTTATGAAGTAAGAACCCTTCTAGGCAGAGCCTAGGTAGGGAAGTACTCCAGAAAATCAAAAAGTCGTTCCCGGACTGTTTGTTATACCATTTGGGGATATTCCTCCTGTGGAGGGAAGGGCCCGACTTAATAGTTACTAATCGTATATGTCCTCCTTGGAGGCGCGCGTCCGATCCGAGCATACAGTATACCCATCTTGTAGCGCATCGTTGCCCGAGAGGTGTGGCCAGAAAGCGCCCGCCATGCCGCATATATATACAAGTGGCACGTGTGTGCCCAGGCTCATACAACAAGCTGAAGGGGCGTTTGAAGCAGGAGTGACATGCAACAGCGAAGTCGCACTCGAGCGCAAGTGGGGTTGCCACACCTTGCGATGTGTGTACCAGGGCCCCCCAGGAAGCCTCAGGAGGCCCGACTTGGATACCAGAAGAGGCTCCAGGAGGCCCCAGGATTGTGAGTGTGTGTGTGTGTGATGTGTGCTTTGTGTGGTGCGTGCTTTTTGTGTGTTGTCGGTGTGTGTGTGTGTATGTTATGTTTGTCTAGCGTGTGATGTGTTGGGCGTGATTTGTGTCTCTGTGTGTGCATGTAGTTCTGAAGCCCCAGGAGGCCCCAGGAGGCCCCAGGCGGCCTCAGCAGGCCCAGGAGAACTCCAGGAGGCTCCGAGGCGGGGTCTGGGGTACCAGAAGGTCCAGAAAGCCCCAGGAGGCCCCAGGAGGTTCCAGGAGGCCCCCAGGAGGCTCCGAGGAGGGGTCTGGGGCTCGATTTTGGGAGGATGTCTCAGGCGAAACCGCCATTCTCTGAGAATCGGGGTCAACATTATTGAAATTACCACGTGTTTTTGAAGGTTGTATGTTAAAATGTTGAAATTCCCATGTGTTTTTGGACCCTGACGTCACGATCTGCGTGAGGGGTGCCACCGATGTTCAGAATTTCGAGGATGTCCCGAGCGAAACGGCCAGAAAAATCGCGGACGACGTGCGCATTAATCGCCTCTGAGCTCTACTCCCTCGGAGAGGTGCGTATGAGAATATATATATATATATATATATACACTATAGGACTTCTTGGTGCGCGCGTCGCCCCTGGGGGGGCGACGCACACTTAGTATTAGTATGTTGGGGTGACGCCGATGTCGCTCCAAATGTCGCGTTTGAACGCGCCTGGCCCCGAAAAAACAGCCTCCGAAGCCAGGAGCGAGGAATACGAAGCCGGGAAGGAGAAAGACTGGCCTGAGAGGCTCCCGGGAAGCGCCAAGAAGCCCCCAAGACGCCCCCAAGAAGCCCCCAGGATGCGCCCAGGAAGCCCCAAGGGGCCTGCAGGAGCCTCCCAACAGGCCCCCAAGAGGCTCCCAAGAGGACCCAAAATTACCTCCCAGGCACCCGAGAGCGCTCCGAAGAGACCCCAAGAAGCATCCCTGAGGACTACAACCCACGTCAGCATCGTCGTCGTCATGTTCAGGGTCGGCGGCACAGGCCGTCAGGCATCGCCAAAAAGAAGCAGGGAAGGAGAAAGACATCGTACATCGTCGGAGATCTGGGAGCTGCTGCGCCCAGCAGACTTCTTACCCCCTCCTTTCGTTCCCAATCCCCCGCCCCCTTCGTCCGGCCCGACAATGGGTCCGACCGTTTTGGACGCCCGAAATGGACACGGAAAACATGGGTACGATGCCCAACAACAAATGTCGTCCACAACCGACAGCGGCCGCTTTGGGGCAGGCGGCATTTTTTAGTGGACAACATCCGCGGGGACGCCGCCAGCGGGTCCTGCTCGAAACGAGCAAGACATGCTGCCGGTCTTGGTACCCACTACTTCCGTACCCACGTCGACCGTCACGAATCGTGGGCTGAGGAGGACGCCCCGGCACCTCCACCCCAAGCTCGTCCATGCGCCGGAGGATGCCTGGCCGGGCGCGGCGGCTTGGCTTCGGCAGCAGCTGCTGGCGTGCCCACCCACCGTCCGCCCCCGGGCCCACTTAAGAAATCACGACGGGAGGCGTTGTCCTGATCATGTGCGGCCCCTGGAAACCCTCGCTGGGCCCAGGACCGTCGAAAAACGGAACGGCATCAGAACTGATCGCGGGGAGTGGTTCGAGACCTCTGAGGATCGACGTTGTGGAAAAGTCATGACGTCGGGGATGTAAATATGAGGAGGAAGAGGAAGAGGAGGAGGAGGACGGAGGCTCCTCCCTCCCAGGCCATGCTCCCTCCCTCTCCCTCACAAACTCTTCGCCCTCCTCATCATCGTTAGAAGTACAACTTACACCTGCACGGAAGCCCCGAGCACCAACCCAGACATCCAGCGCGCCAAATTTTCGATGCATGGATCCCTCGAAGTGTGCACAACTGTCCCAATGCTAGGTCGGACGTGTCCCCCTACAGGATTTTGAACGAAAAATCAAGAATACTCACAAAATACTCAAAAATATTCAAGAACATCGTCCCCAGATTATGTTTTGACTCTTTTTGAATATTCCTCCTGTAGAGGCGCCGGCCCGACTGATTCGTCCTTGGACGGTCCCGCGGCCCTTTGCGGGCCTCTGGAACCCGAAAACAACAAGTAGCACGCGTGCCACGGCTCTTGCACAAGAGGGAGGGGGAAGGAGGAGGAGGAGAAGGAGGAGGAGGAGGAGGAGGGGGAAGGAGAAGGGGGAAGGAGGAAGGAGGAGGAGGAG